TATATAAACAAAAAGTAGGCCTAGCACTGAGGGACATGAATGGACCCAGAGCAGGCAACTGAGCCACTCTGGCAAAGCTGGAAAAATATATTGATTATCAATGCTTTCTATGGAAAGATTTGCAATTAAAAGGTAGGAAATTATGGAAGAAATTTTCACATAGTGAGGTATGGGGAAGTCATTCTGGCTTATACATGATTTAATTTGAACTTTAGGCTAACCAAAACAGCCTGTCTGTGGCCTATTAAACATACATTGTATATCTGCTTTAACCATTAAGAGAAAAGAACACATTCCGAGAATAATACAAAGATGCATTTTGATTATTATCCTCATTGTAATATGCCTACTAATTTTCAACTGTTTGTCCAGGTACTATGACAAAGTAATCAAAGAGAGATGTAATGTTTTCATAATATAAAATAATGACCTGAATGAACCTAGTCTGTGGCCTGGTAAATCTTCTTCCCCTGCAGTAGATGGAAATGGACAGGGTTGAGGAGAAGCAGGCTATGTAAGCACAGCTACTGATTCCTGCGACCAGCCCTACCCCCACCATGCATCCCCACCTTTGTAAAGGAGGCAGCCTTGATGCTAGGCCATGAAGGGTTGGAAGCCTCTAGAAGATAAAACTTAAGCAATTTTTTTTCTTTTTAAGTGGCATGATATCCTGTGGTACCTTCTGATATGTACAAGAGGGATGGCAAGTAGATTTTTGCTTTAGATAGTCAATCACCACACAGGAATGATATAGAATAAATTTAAATTGATTTACTGGGGACTTCCCTGGTGGTCCAGTGGTTAAGACTCTGCGCTTCCACTGCAGGTGGCACGGGTTTGATCCCTGGTCAGGTAACTAAGATCCCACATGCCGCGACGCCAAATAAAAAAATAAATAGATTTACTAACATGGCATCATTATTCACAATAGACAAAAGGTGGAAACAACCCATGTCCATCGATGAATGAATGAATGTGGTCTATACATACAATGGAATATTATTCATCTTTAAAAAGGAAGAAAATTCTGACACATGCTACAGCATGGATGAACCTTAAGGACATTGTGCTAAAAGAAATAAGTCTAAGGATAAATATTGTGTAATTCCACTTACATAACTTGCATACAGTAGTCAGAGTCACAGAGACAGAAAGCAGAACAGTAGTTGCCAGGACCTGGGAGGACAAGAGAACAGAGAGTTGTTAAATGGGTAAAGAATTTTAGTATTGCAAGATGAAAACATTTATGTAGAGTCAACAATGTGGATGCCCTTAACACTACTGAACTGTACACTTAAATGGTTAGGATGATACATTTCATGTTCTGTGTATTTTACTATGATTTTTTAAAATGATGTATGCTGTATCTTCCTTTCACTGTGTAGGAATTTTACAAAACTTCTTTCACTTACTTAACAAACTAAGACTATTTATTGAGTACCTCCTACGAGCTAGACACTATTCCAGGTGCTGAGATATAGCCACAAACAAGACCAGCAAGGTCCCTAGAGTTTGGAACTTAACAATGCAGTGGGAGATACAGAATATAAATAGGTCAATACACAATAAGAAAACATTTGGTAGTGATACGTTCTGTATAGAAAATAAATTAGGGTGATGTGATACTGAGCTAATTGGGGGCTACTTTAAATTGGATGGCAAAGGTTATCTATTTATTCTCTACAATACTGGGCACACAAAACTTGAAACCAGTTGTCAGGCTATAGGTCAACAAGGAAAGCTAATGACATGTGGACGGTCTTTGTTCACTTCAGGCTGTTCTAATGCTATTTAAAAAGAGAATGATCATAGTTTAATTTATTTTTTTAAACAGAACAGAGTCACACATTTAGTTTTTTTGTTTTAATTTATTTATTATTGGCCGTGTTGGGTCTTTGTTTCTGTGCGAGGGCTTTCTCTAGTTGCGGCGGGCGGGGGCCACTCTTCATCGCGGTGCGCGGGCCTCTAACTGTTGCGGGCTCTCTTGTTGTGGAGCACAGCCTCCAGATGCGCAGGCTCAGTAGTTGTGGCTCATGGGCCTAGTTGCTCCGCGGCATGTGGGATCTCCCAGACCAGGGCTCGAACCTGTGTCCCCTGCATTGGCAGGCAGATTCTCAACCACTGCACCACCAAGGAAGCCCCATGTGGTTTAATTTTTATTCTATAACCTACTGAACTGGATTTGCCACCGGAAGACTAACAACAGTGTTTAGGGCCTTATTATGTGGAGAGAGTAAAATATAAAGACCTGATATAGGGACTCTGAGGACACCCCATAAAAGCATACTGATCTTTGCTCCCCGGAGTTTGCAACATGATGGTATGTAGGCTAACAGGGGCCCCAGCGTTTGTCTGTTTAGAATTAGTCGCTGGGAGCCCCCTATTATCTGGAAACATAGGGCACTGTAAATAGATTCCTGCCTTACCATAGGGCCTCTCTGCAGAAAAGAAAGCTATTCTAGGGCCTGAGGATCAGTTTACACAGACAGGTACTAATCTCAGCAATAATTCATTCCTGCCACATTGTGATTCATGCTTTGTTTCTCACTCAGCCTTGTGATAAACTCAGAGGCCCAATGGAACAAAGAGCCCAGATCTAGAATCAGACGCCACACTTAGTGCAATCATCTTTTATTACCATAGAAAGTTACCCCCACAGGGCTACACTTTTTTGTCATAAATATTGGAGCTACCCTATATCTCATTGTTTTCTATGCTGGAAAAAAAAATCATTCAAACAATCAACAACTTTACTAAAATGCATTAACAATATATTTTGACCAGACAGTCATCTGTAAGAGAATTCCGTGGATACTATGTGAAAGGAGACATGGCGGAAAAAGATAAAATGGATTTGTTGAGTGGCTACTATGGGCCAGGCCATCAAGATGGATTTTAGGGCAGAACCAAACAACACTATCCCTACCCTCAAAGAATTTATCCTTGCCCTAGACAACTAAGTGATTCAAGTAATAAGGAATTGTGGCAAGTGTTACAACAGAAGAGGGTATGTATAGAAGTCCAATAGGAAAAGCTAATCTGTGAGATTGAGAAACCTCCCAGAGAAAATGGCATTTAAGCGAAGATCTGAAGGATGCACTGGGTTTGGGAAGTGGCAGGCAGGACTCTAGGGAAAGAAAAGAGCATATGTCAAGGTCTAGAGGCAAAAGGGAGCACAACACTTCGGAAACAATGAGGAAAAAATCCAGTTTTCCTGAGTTGTGGGGTGAGGAGGTGGCGGGGTAATTGGAGAAATTGTAACCCTCGTGTACTGTTGGTGGGAATGGAAAATGATGCAGCTGCTATGGAGAACAGTAGCGCATTTCTTCAAAAAATTGAAAACAGCTACCATATTATCCAGCAGTTCCACTTCTGGAGAACTGAAAGCAGGGACTCCAAGAGATAGTACTATACCCTTGTTCGTAGCGGGATTATTTGCAGGAGCCAAATGGTGGAAGCAACCAAAGTGTGCATCAAAGGATGAATGGATAAATAAAATGTGGTATATACATGTGACGGAATATTATTCATCCTTAAAAAGGAAGGAAATTCTGACACACTATGAACATGGATGAACCTTGAAGACATTATGCTAAGTGAAATAAACCAGTCATAAATACTGCATGATTCCACTTGAATGAAACATCTAGAGGCCTCAAATTCATAAAGACAGAAAGTAAAATGGTGGTTGCCAGGGGCTGGCGGGTAGGAGGGGTGCTGGTGGAATGGGGAGTTATTGATAAATGAGTAGAGTTTCAGTTTGGGAAAATGAAAAAGTCTGGAGACGGATGATGGTGATGGTAGCACAACACTGTGAATATACTTAATTTCAATGAACTGTAACTTGATGGTTAAGATGGTAAATTCTATGTTTCTGTATATTTTACCACCAGTTTTTAAATTTAAAAATCTTCAAAAAACAAAAGACCCATCCTTGGTATTGTCTACTCTAGAATGTTCAAAATTACTTCAAACCAATGCTTAATTAACTTTGATTTTTAGAAATAATAATTTTTAGGAAACTGTAAAATCATGATTCTCACACAAATGTAAAATGAACGCGTGTCAAAGATTTTATTTAATTTATTAAGGGAACCAGTATGTTACAACCGATTTAAAGAACAATGCAAAGGACACACATATATAGGCAAACAGGCCTGCTAAAGTGAATTTACAAATCAATGCCAGAGCATGTATCCATCGGGCAATAGTCATTAACATTCTACTGACAAACTCATTTGCGTTACTATGGACAAAAATCACTTGTGACACTACAGGTTTTCTGTAATTTACAGAGTTGTAAACAGCTCAAAGACAATGAAAGTCTCAGGACCCTAGAGGTGGACAAACCTGAAAAGTGTGCTAGACAGGGCACACACACACACCCCTTTATTTTTTCGTCAGTTTCAAAATCAAGAGGCCAAACAAAGAAAATAAAATCCTCGGTAATTCCTCATCCCAGAAACACAGTCGCTTTGATTCTTTTCCATCAAGGTTAATCCGGAGTATGGCGTCTTTATTAAGCAAATTAAACAAAATACACAAGTGCAACACTCTGGGACACGCTTCTCGGCCGGGAGGACCCTCGGTGCACACCTGCCCAGCGCATCTCGGGCGGTTCCGCCCACTCAGCCATGGGTGTCTGCAAGCTAACAGCGCAAAATTTCGAGGGGCCATCGGATCCCCGCTGGGGGTGGAGGGAGGACAGGCTACAGGTGCAGGGTCGACGGGCAGGGACCGGAGAAAAACTTTAGTTACCGAGATCTGCTGAGAAGCAGGGACCTGCGCAGTGCCCGGGCCAGGTGCGGCCGTTCGGGCGGCGCCTCTTTCCTTCCCCGCCCCAGGCCGACCTGGCCCCGCCGAGCCGCGCAGAGGTGCAGGGGCGGGGCGACCTTTGCTCGGTCCGAGTCCCGCAGGGCCGCGCAGCTTCCTGCTCGCCACTCCAGCCCCTCCCACCCGGACGGGTTTGGCCGCGGCTGCCGCCACCTCTGCGCGCCGGCATCTCGGGCCCAGGTTTCGATCAGACTTGCCCGCGAGCTGGTTTCGATTAGGCGGCTGGGCGGGAGGTAGGGCGGAGCGGCCGGGACGCGGGGAGCGAACTAGGGACGGGTAGCGGAGCGCAGACGGCCCCGCGCCGGAGACAAAGAGCGGCCGGAGGAGAGCCGGGCGCAGGACTCCGGGCGTGGCGGCGACGAGCGTGCGGACTTCAGGGAGCCGGAGCCTGGAGCGCTCTCCGGGGGCGCAAGGGCTCGAGATAGCAAGCCGGCGGCGGAGGCGGAGGCGGAGGCGGAGGAGTGGGCAGGTGCGCCGTCCAGGATGAGGACGCCAGTGGTGATGATTCTGGGCATGGTGCTCGCACCCTGCGGGCTGCTACTCACCCTGACCGGCACGCTGACGCCCGGCTGGAGACTGGTGAAGGGCTTCCTTGACCAGCCGGTGGACGTGGTGCTGTACCAGGGCCTGTGGGACATGTGCCGCGAGCAGAGCAGCAGCGAGCGCCAGTGCGGTCAGCCAGACGACTTGGGCTACTTCGCCGCCGAGCCCGTGCGGGTGGCGCGGGGACTCATGATCGCGTCGCTGGCCGCCACGGCCCTGGGGCTACTGCTGGCGACGGTCGGCGTGCGCTGCTGGCAGGACGAGCCCCACTTCGCGCTGGCCGGCCTCTCCGGCGTCGTGCTTTTCGCCGCGGGCCTCTTGAGCCTCATCCCAGTCTCCTGGTACAACCACTTCTTGGCGGATCGCGCCGTCCTGCCCGCCCAGTCCAGCCCGGTCACCGTGCAGGTCGGCTACAGCCTGGTGCTGGGCTACCTGGGCAGCTGCCTGCTGCTGCTGGGCGGCTTCTCGCTGGCGCTCAGCTTTGCGCCTTGGTGCGCCGAGCGCTGTCGCAGCTGCCGGAAGGCGCCCCCAGGCAGGGCGCGCCGCAGCAGCATCAGCACCGTGTACATCGACTGGCCGGAGCCCGCGCTCACGCCGGCCATCAAGTACTACAGCGACGGCCAGCACCGGCCGCGGCCCGTCCAGCTCGGCGCCGCCAGCCAGCGCAAGGCCGGCTTCCCGATGCCCCGGCCGCCGCCCAAGGCCTACAGCAACCCGGTGGAAGTGCTCGATGGGGAGAAGGCTCCCGAATCCCACCACGGCGTGTCCTCCCGCAGCACCCGGTCATGCGGCAGCGCGCTGCCCTGCGACTCCGACCTGTAGGCGGCGCCCCCAGCCTGCTCTGGCCGGGCCCTGTCTGGATGAGGGACTCGCCCCACCACGGTCCAACCTTGAACTTGGCTGTTACCTTTCAGCTGGAAACACCTGGCTCGGAGTCGGACCCCCGGACACATTCCTGTAACTGGTTTGGAGGGCGATCTTCCTTTCCTAGCCAAACTCGACTCCTTGGACGATTAGTTCAGGTTGGGTTTGGTTTTCTTTTTACAGAGTTTAGTGTTTCTCCCCCGAGGGATCAGGGCCCTCTTCTGGACGACAGCCTTTTCATACTTTTAGCTGGAGACATAGGAAGAGTGACTTTGCATCCTGCTGATAATAACAATGTCAGAATCAGCAAATGGAGGCTCAAAACCGATTGAACATCTCCAAACAACATTCTGAAATGCTGATGAACCTTGCATCAATATAATTATCATTAATTTATTTTCTGCTGCATAATTCATTTTCACACAAACTGTCAAGAGACCAGTACCTTTCTGGTTATATTTGAATGGGGCTGTTAAAATAAACATAGAGCCATGCAAATACCAGCAGCTTTAGTGGCTTTTATGGAATGAAATAACCTGATTAACTCATATTTACATTTCTTCATGTATAAATAGGATCTGTCATTTTGATCACTTATTTTTGGTGTGAAAGTTGAGGTCACTCCAGAGTTTCTCTTCTAGAAGCCAGAAGGAGAATGAAGGGACTGATGCTGTATTGTTCTATTTCTTGGCTACCTCACCCTGGACATTAAAGACTATATATTAAATATTTAGAACAAAATGGAACCTGTTAATCACATTAGGCTACCGTACATGTATATATATCTCTTATTTATAAATAAAATTTGAAAGCAAGAGTTTCACTCAACTCAGACAAGTTTTTTTTTGTCTTCAGTATAATCTTTAGGAGTTTAAGCATTCATTACAACAATTTTCTGGCTGCCTATGCACTGTTTCTGAAATCTAGCACTCAGATCTTTGCACCTCTTAGCATAAGATTACTAAAAGTAGCCAATGGGCCCCACTTCAATCCCTGATTGTTTTATTTTCAGGTTCATGCTGTTTTCTGTGCAAAGCCAAGTCTATTGTTGAAAAAACTAGAAGCACCAGTTTCCACATGAGGTGAGACTAGAAATCTTTTCCTCTTGTAACAGTGCTGCCTAAAATCACAGGTAGGCAGCTGTGTGTTCCATGCTCGGGACTAAACCTCTAGCAGGACCGGCTCCAATTCCAATTAGTTGGTTTTAAGGGCGTCTTGAACTGAACTGAATCTCATCTTTAAAACCTGCTGTCGAGGGATTTCCCTGGTGGCGCAGTGGTTAAGAATCTGCCTGCCAATGCAGGGCACATGGGTTCAAGCCCTGGCCCAGGAAGATCCCACATGCTGCGGAGCAACTAACCCCATGCGCTACAACTACTGAGCCTGCTCTCTAGAGCCCACGAGTGACAACTACTAAGCCCGCGAGCCACAACTACTGAAGCCCGTGCGCCTAGAGCCCGTGCTCCGCAACAAGAGAAGCCACAGCAATGAGAAGCCCGTGCACCGCAACAATGAGTAGCCCCTGCTCGTGGCAACTAGAGAAAGCCCACGGACAGCAATGAAGACCCAATGCAGACAAAAAATAAATAAAATTAAATTAAAAAATTAAAAAACAAAAAACCCCCACACCTGCTGTGGGTAGCCAATTCAGAGGTAGGAACATTCAGTGCAGTAATTACTGACAACACAGCTATAGTAGAACTAACTAAACAGCACACACTGCTTGTTAGCAGTGGAAGGGATATTATAGATTCATTTCCCTTGCCATTTTGTACTGGAATCACCTATTTCTTTTTGCATCCAAACTTCAATGTGCTGGCATATCACTCAGGGATCTTTTTCAAATGCAAATTCTGATTCAGTAGGTCTGGAGTGAGACCTGAAACTGATTTCCTAACTAGCTCCCAGGAGATGCCAATGCTGCTGCTTCACCGACATCTGCTGGGGCTGCGTGGCTTTCACTGTGACTGTGCCTCACTCAAATTTCAATCCCAACTGGCAGCATGTAATCAGACCTTTGAGAGCTATTGCCTAGATGAGTTAGGGGACTTGATTTAGGGAACAGAGCCAGAATGGAGAAAAGGCAACCCTGCTTTTTTCAGCTGACACCTCAAAAGGCAGGAATTGGGCACCTGAGAAGTCAGGACCTGGCAGACAACATAAAGATTTTGGGTTTCTGGCAAGTACCGAATCTACTGAATCTTGCCTGCATCATATTTCCATTGTTTCTAGGGAATCTGTGGTAAAAGCAATCAATACTGGTGCTTTGTATGTTTTTACTTCTCCCTGCCCAGTTACTATCCACTGACTTATATCCAAAACACTTCCTCTTTGGTGATTAAGATTTGCTCTGAGTTAGAACTGCATTTTTGCCTCATCCACAGAAATAAAACCAAATATCCCTTTAAGAAAACTTAACTTGTTTTTGCTATAAAAATATTCAAGATGGCATGAGACTCCTGCATCAGGCAGGATCTGGGTTTGACCTGAGAGTCTTTCTGTGCTACAGCAGAAGAAAATGACAATGGGCTTGAGATTCAAGAAGCTGGAGGAGGCTGGAGCCTCAGGAGTTGCTGTCGTTGGTGAGCACTTATCCTAAATCTAATACCCAACTAGCCAAGCAGCTACACCCCAGTGAGACTCTAACATGAAATAGTACTGCCTCCCGGCCTCAAGCCCTTCACACCTCTGACGCACATCACGACTCACTTTTTTTCTTATTAGACTTTTTTTAATTGAAGTATAGTTGATTTACAATGTTGTGAGGACTTACTCTTAATAATCCTACTGACATACAGAGTATGTGTCCCCATTAATGGGTGAAGTCTTTTCAAGATTACTCAAGCTCTCTGCCTGGAGGAGTGAGGAATCTGTGAAAGTAGAGCAGACCCTGCATTAACACAGCTTCTGCTCTGCCCATCTGCCAATCGGGCTCTGATCTAGACGCCCACCCTCACTAAGGAGAAGTAAGGTTTTTGGCACACAGGCTGTTGATCCCTTGTGGAGGTGCTGTCAAAGATGCTTCAGCAGGCACCCTCCCCTTCATGGCCTAGATCATTTGTCAGTTTGGGAGCACCTGTCATCCTGTCAGGACATCTTTGGATGCCTTGGAAAGCAAATTTATTCCAGGCCCAAGTTTGTAGAACTTGCATACTCTAGAGTGAGAAAGATGTACAAGGAAAATGAAGAATAATAAACCAGGGTCAAGGACTGGAGAAAAAAGGCAGTATTTTAAGAAAGGTGGTCGGGAAGGAGAGGGGGCTTGTGCAGAGAACTGAAAGAAAAGATTGGACATCAGAGAGAACAGCAAACTCCAATTCCCCAAGAAATATTAGTGAAAACAGGTTTCCATAGTGGTCTTGGTACTGGCTTGCTTTGCTTCTCCTTCACTCTAGACAGGGATGGTAAGGACAGGAAGAAGCTGGGGGTACAACTGAGTGAATCTGAGGGCCTCTTCTGGTCTAATAGCTGTTTTTTGGAGGGAATACAGTCTGGATTCAGTCTGTTGTATAGAATATTTTCAGAGTCAAATATAAACAATTTGATATAAGAATAGCAGGTGAAGAACATTCTATTCTGTCAATGTATAGACAGCCTCACAGCACGGTAGGCAGAGAAAGATCTTTCAACTTCAGAGCCTCATCACATCCGCAAAGTGATGGGAAAGTGTAATAACCAGAATCTCTCTCCCCACACTCACCTCACATCTTCACCCTGACCTTCCTAAAATGAAGGACTAATTCATCTTCAGAACGCTCAGGATCTTCCTTACCTATCATTCACTCTTAGCTTAAATTCCATTCATAATTTGGCCAAGGCTCAGGTTTTTCACCCTCATCACTTTCTCCTACACACATACCCTAAACTACTTTCCCCCATCAGCTTAGAGGTGTCATCTTTGAACATGTCATTTAGATGTTCAAATGTGTACTTTTCTTGGTGTGCTTTCTCATTTTACCTCAAAATTTAAGGTAGGGGCATGGACGGCTTCTATTTATTTTTGTAATCCTAGAATGGTTATAACACTTCTTCAGAGCCTGTTAGAAATTTAATAAATTAAAGTTGCCTCTAAAAGCCATTTCTGTACCCAAGTACTTCCTCACATTATGCATAGCTTATCAGGTACTTGGAAAGTAATTTGTGGCTTGAGGCCACTGGCTCGAAACCCAGGGGCAAGGGCTCACCAGCACTGGTGGGGAGGAGGCCACGGGAGCAGCTTTGTCAATTGGGTTACGATTGGCTTACAAAGACCAGTAGAGCACAGCCCATGCCTCCTCTATTCCCAAGACATTACAGATGAGATCTTTCTCCCTTTGGGAAGGGAGGAAAGTAAGGAACTCAATCAGTATTTCTTCTTTTTTTTTTTAATTTGGCCACACCACGAGGCTTGAGGGATCTAAGTTCCCCGACCAAGGATTGAACCCACGCCCTCAGCAGTGAAAGCGTGGAATCCTAACCACTGGACCGCCAGGGAATTCCCTTAATATTTCAAGTGAAAACTTACGTGAAATTCTCACCCCATCTTCCCAACAAATTCTGCCCACATTCTGTTCTTTTTTCACTAAAAACAATAAAATGACCTCCTCCAGAAAATCTTTATGAAGCAGGACTGAACACAGGAAAACAAGGTTTAATTTGCACAAATAAAGGAAAATGTAGACAAGGCTGGAGGTATGGAGGAGACAGTACTGACCAGAGGGCTTGATTCTCCAGTGGGGCAAGGGGAGAGAGGGGCTTAAGTACAGCTCTACCGCATTCTTGTCCAGTGGCCAAGCACCTTGGCCATCCATGTGACAGATGGCCTGCCAACCCTCCCCCACCACCATGGTTGCCTCCAAAAGAACTGCCACTCACCAAAGAGCTGAAGAAACTGCAAAAGTCACTGCAATTTTTCTAGAACGTGGGTAACAATATATTCCCTAATTATGCCCTGCTCTTGCTGGATTTCAGTTTCTTCAGCTGTGTAACTGGGAAGACTGGATTCAGTGTTATCAGAGGGCCTTCCTGAATTTAATATTCTGAGAGTAAGGGTTAAGAACTAGAGGAGGCTGAGAGAAGAGATGTGAAGTTTGAACAGTGAACGTTGGGGAAGCTGATTGACCCATAAAATTAGTAACTGGCCTGAGAGCAACAAACTCCATATTCTAGTTCTCATTTTTCCTGAATTTCCTAAGCCACCCAGCAGTTAAAACAGTTGGAACTTAGTACAGCCCACCCATCATCCATGACCCCTCCCCTAATTTGTTTCCTAAAGAGAATAAGCACAGTCCATTTTCCGTATCTGCAGGTTCTGTATCCGTGGATTCAGCCAAATGCAAATGGAATATTTTCAATGCACAACCCATGGATATGGAGGGCTGGCTGTAAGGACCTTGAGCATCCATGGATTTTGGTATCCACGAGGGTCCTGGAACCAATCCCTCGCGGATACCAAGGGACAACAGTATAAAATGCCTAATTTAACTCTTAATTGCTAGCAATAGACACAAAACGTCAAG